CAATAAAACAAAGTCGAGGGGTATTTTTTTACCCTTTTCCCATATATAAATGTGTCCTTTAACTTGACATCATTTCACATTATACCCTCCAACTTTGTGTATGCATTAGTAGACACTTAAACTTATATAAAGTTGAATAAGTGCACACATGAGTCCTGCGTGGCTCAATACACGTAGAACACCACATAGAACAAAAAAGAAATGCCAAAAAAAAAAGTTTTTTTAGAAACTTTTTGTAGACATAGTTGAAAGAATACCCCCACCATAAAAGAGATGCCAAAAAAATGTTTTAAATCAAAAGCAACAATTAGTTATTGGATTGAAAAAACAAAGTGAGAATAATTGAGAGACATGGGCCAATGGTGGAATAATTGAGTTTGTGCTTCTTACTTTCAGCTGTCCATATTTCTTTCCAACTAATTTAGATAAATAAACTAATAGATAAAGCTAAAAATCTAAAATTAAAAACTATAAAGGAAATAAATCTATATCTATCGATATCTATATTTATAATTTTATATATATAAACATAAAGCTAGATAAAAGAAAAGTGACATGACACTTCTCTTTGACTGGGGATTCCATTTATTTATTTATTTTGACAATATTTCTATTTTTTATTATTATTGTACAAAATGAATTTGTCAATTATTATTCCATTTATTCATATTTTTTAATAGAAAAACTTAATTGTCTTTATTTTCATAACTCTTATGACTTTTAATAATCATAACAATAAAATCTACCTTAACCGATATTAAGAAAATAATGTTATAGAATAAAGACAAAGTAATTTAGACAGTATACCTAAAATGATGATATTAGTGAGCAGTCAAAATTTGTTGAAGATTGAGATTTTCCTTAGCAATATTGGTGTGTATGTTACCTAACTTAGTCTTTAACTATGATTAAGAGGATTTAAACTAATTTAATTTAAATTTTTGAATATGATAAGTGTAAATTGAGAAAAAGGGGTAATGGAGAGGAGTCAAATCCCCTTGACTGATAATACTCCCCTGTTCACATTTGGCGTGCTATGTATCAAGAAAGATTTAAAATAATTATTTTTTTTAGAAAGATTACCCCAAAATAAAAGAGATGCCAAAAAGAATGTTTGAAAAACAGTTAATTATTGGATTGAAAAACAAAATCAAATAATTGAGACATGGAGGCCCCGTGGTGGAATAATTGAGTTTGTAATTATTACAACCTTTGTGCTTCTTACTTTCAGCAGTCCGTAAAATCCACTTATGCTGCGTAAGTGATTCGGTCGGGACTTGACTGTTTGATATATTATATGCTTTGAGACTGAATATGTTATCATTACCGTCTACTTGATTTGAGGCAATGTTTGCTTTATGTTCGATTGATAAAATGGAAAAGAAAAATCGCATCACCTCTGAATGGCACATGGTTTTCTTTTATCATAAAAAAAATTGGAGCTAGAGGATGAGGGTATAATGAAGTATGGAAATAATTATAGAGTTCTTTCTTCCAATAGGTTGAAGAAGATAAACTTGATAATACTTATTTTAAGATGCATGATCTCATCTACGATTTGGTTTTGATGAATTGCTCACATCCAAATGTGTATATCAGTTAACTTTACCAGAGTTGGCCAATTTATTTCACTTTACCTAAAACAAGCTAAAACGTGGAAAACAAAACAAAGAAGATACTAATCTCACTGATTTTTATGTGACGAAAAATTAAAGAAATTATCACATCATATGCCGACTTCCTGTAACAACAACTCTCTTTGAACCCTGCATTTTGGATTGGTGTGCTATATATAGTTTGAAGGTATTCTAGTGCCCTCAATAAAACGTTTATTATTGTGAATATATATACGTATTGTTGACACCCAATTTTGACCCTCCCCGATTGGAATTAATTCTCGAGCTTCTTAGATTTCAAATGATTTGGAGCAATTAGTTTATAAAATTTAAATATTTTTCAAGATTTTTAAAGCAATTTAGTTGGGTTTATAATATTTTAGATAATAAATGTTTTTTTTTTACATAATTACTTATATAATCAACGTACATTATTAGTATTTGGAAATCATCTTGAAATATTTTGCATTTTTAAAATTGACTATTCTATTAATTTTGTTCAGTATAAATTATAGTTATAATTTGAGTTATTTGAATTAGTTAGTTTATAATTAGATCATTTATTTATTTCATTAGGATTGAGAAGCTCATTAATTAATTTATATTAATTCGTCTTATTTAATTACTAGCCGGATTTACTAAATGAATTCAATTTGGCTACATTCATAATTCAACGGCTAAATTCATAATACAATTGACCACTCAATTCGGTTAAAATTGTAACTTACTAGCCACTACTTTTACCTCATTAAATGACCAAATTTTAGGCCTTATATCAGCAATTTCCAGCATCCTTTTTCCCTTTAATTCCCTTAATTGCCAGCCCAATTCCAGATTTCCAGCCCACCAACTCAATACCAAACAGCAGCCCACCAAATTCCACTTTTGACCCGGCCCATTCCCATTCTAATTAAATTTCAGCAAACCTCAAACAATGGGAACATTCCAGAAGCGTACAGCAGCAACTCGCGATTCACGACGTTTATTCCAATAGACGGAAAGTGAATCTCAACGTTGCCTTCCTCAGTCTGCTACTGCCTGTACAAAGAGATTCGGCGATGGCAGTCTGTTCTTCGTCCTTGCAGCTGCGGGATCACGCCACGATGACAAGAAGGACAATCGATCGATCCCAAACGCCCATTTCTCCTTTCCTCTTCCGGAATGGCTTGAAACTTTAGGGAAAAGATGTTTAACCAAAATGGTGAAACGGATTTGAATTTGAATATGGGCCTTTTCTATTGGGATTTGAGTCCATTTTTTTTTTCCTATTCTCCGAACCCTATTCCCTTCTATATATGTTGTTTGTTGTCCACTACGAAAGGGGGGTTTTTTTTTGGTTGTTTTTTTTAAGCTTACAGAGAGTTGGAAATAGAGGATATTTTCTCTACTGATAGGTTTACAGAGAAAGTTTGGAGATTTTTGTTGGATTTTGGAGTAAAATATACAGAATAGTTTAAGCAAAAAAAATAGTAATAGTAAAATACATCTAAACACACCTTAAGAAGAAGAGAGGAGATAATCAGTTTTAGTTTTCTCTTAGACCCGACATTTCTGCTCGGATTTATTGATTGTTGCTCAAGTCTGAGTTTGTGTTGGAAGGTTCATTCTAGCTCGTTTTGCTCAGTTTGCTGCCCCGTGAAAGGGTCTTTATTTTGGTCCACTTCTGGGGGGCAAAAGCAAGTCTTCAATCTTAATCTCGGTAATAAATAGCAATCTTTATTAGTTTCAGTAAGACATCTCTTTAATTATTTGATTCATAGATTCTCTCTCGGAAATTTGATTATTAGCCTTAAACTTACCGTAGGTTGACTCGTGTTTACTTAAAATGATGTTTTAGCTTTTACCCCGATTTTGTTTATTCCTCTTATTCAATTCTTGAACGAAATCAACATGGATTTAATATTCATTTGCCCATCAGTTATTGTCTGGTCTATCAAAGGGATAATTTTTATTATGATATGATTAATTTGCATGATAATGTGGGCAATAAGTAGTCGTGATTTAGTATTTTCATTTACTGCTTCAGTACTTTTATGTTTCACCATAACTTGAACTGGTTCTTACAATATTTACACTTTTTATGCATGTGAAATTCGTCTGAGTTTGCCATGAACTCCTATTTCCTTCCCCTCGCATATCGAGAGAGCCGTAAAGGCTCAATTTCCCCTCTTTCGAGTCAGCCAACTACAAAAATTGACGTACAGGTGTCAGAGTGGAAAGAATTTGAAGCAGAAGAGAAATGAAAGATTGGGCCAAAGGCCCACTTTCGCACGAAAGAAATTTGTATTTTGTTATTTTTGGGCCTAAGCCTATTTTATTTGAGTTATTATTATTTGTTAGTTATTAAGACAGGTACAAGAGACAAGGATTGGGCCAAAAGCCAAAAGAAAGGCAAAATTCGAAGATTAGTTTAGGACAGGTGCATATGACTTAAATGAGCCAAAGACCCAAAACGAAAATGGGCCCAAATATTGGCCCAGGCGGACAGGAAAACCAGATTTGGGCCCAAGTCTCTTTCCCTATTCATTTTTTATTATATTTATTTACTTGTTAATATTTGTTGTTAGTCTTAAGGTCGAAAATATTCAAATCCCCAAAAGACACCCATTTTTGAATTAATCACCTAGCTAAATTAGCCGTTTCTCACTCGACTTTAAAATAAATAAATGAATAAATACGTAAGTTTACAAAATACTTCATTTAAATAATATTGCGACATTTTTTTGTTTTCCTTAAAATGGTCCTAATTACAAATTTGTTCAATCAAGTTAAGTTAAATTATTTTAGCCAAATGATCGATTGTCGGATAACCACATTAGTGGACATTCTAGGTGCTTTTAAAACCTTCCTAGAATGTTAATAAGAACCTCGAATCCCCTTTATAGTTTTCAATTGATTTACTGTTTTAGTCTTTTGAAAATAATAGTTTTCTTGATTTTTCTTAAAAATTAAGTGGCGACTCTTAAAATCAGTCAAAATAAATTTTCCTTATAAAACACGTATATCTCTTAAGCTAAACGAATGCTAGCTTAAGAGAACCTTTTAATTTTACCCAAATAATTCAAAAGTGTTTAGAAGTTATTTTAATTTTAACAGGTTCTTAGAAACTTTTTGTAGACATGGTTGAAAGATTACCCCACCATAAAAGAAATGTTTTAAATCAAATTCAACAGTTAGTTATTGGATTGAAGAAACAAAGTGTGAATAATTGAGAGACATGGGCCCATGGTGTGAATAATTGAGAGACATGGGCCCATGGTGGAATAATTGAGTTAATGGTTGTTACTTTCAGTTGTCTATATTTCATTCCAACATCTTACTTAGATTTATTGCTAACTCACAACAATTCCAGTAATCTACACTCCCTCCACATATATCATCTAATTTTAAGTTCAACATATATGGCTGAAGCTTTCCTTCAAATTCTGCGAGAAAATATCACTTCTTTCATCCAAGGGGAACTTGGATTGCTTCTTGGTTTTCAAAATGACTTTGAAAATATTTCGAGCAGGTTTTCTACAATCCAAGCGGTTCTTGAAGATGCTCAGGAGAAGCAACTAAAGGACAAGGCAATTAAAAACTGGTTACAGAAACTCAATGCTGCTGCGTATAAAGTTGATGACCTATTGGACGAATGTAAAAATGAGGCAGCAAGACTCAAGCAGTCTCGATTAGGACGTTATCATCCAAAGACTATTGCTTTCCGTCACAAGATTGGGAAAATGATAAAAGAGATGATGGAGAAACTAGATGCAATTGCTAAGGAAAGAATGGATTTTCATTTGCACGAAAAGATTATAGAAAGACAAGTTGCTAGACCGGAAACAGGTGCTCATCTTAAATTAGTATTACAACAACTTTGTCTATATTCATTTTTTTGGCAATTATCAAATTCATGTGTGTGTTTGGGGTGAGGGAAAGTTTCAAAGATTTCCCTAAATGTTAGTCTCAAGTGTCTTAACTCTTCACTAACTTTGATGATTGATATATAGCTTATTTTCTAAAAGTTCTTAAAGATTGTAGAAGAACTTTACTCCTATCAACGTAACTCAGTTGGGACACTACTCGATAGTCTAGGCATCAACTTGGACATTTTTTGCATAAGGATGAAATCTTCCTTCAATTTTTTTTCTACTAAAGGAAAGGACGATAAAAGCACATCTTAACGACTTTTTGGTCAATCAACAGGTTGGGGTCTAGCCTAACCGCCCACCATTCATGGTGGTTTTGATTAAAAATAATGGTCTAGCCCTTTCAATTTGAAAATGACAAATACAAACTCAGTTGTTTAGACCACGAAAAAATTGTGAATTCAATACAGGAGTACTTAATCATGGTTACTCTAATTCTATGTCATAGAAAGTAATTTCACAAGTGAGAAAATCCTCTAGCATTTTTCACTTTGCCAAGTGGAACTCAGCATGATTTTCTCATGTCTCCTGCTCCTCAAACTCATCCATATCTCTTTAAGGCATCTAAATATCATTATCTATTTTCTGCCGACTCCTAATTATCTTGAATGTAACAATATTCTCGTGTGGACCAGGTTCTGTTTAACTGAACCAGAAATTTGTGGAAGGGACAAAGAGGAAGAGGAGATAGTGAAAATCCTGATAAATGATGTTGGTAATGCCCAAGAGCTTTCAGTCCTCCCAATAGTTGGTATGGGGGGACTAGGAAAGACTACTCTTGCCCAAATGGTCTTCAATGATCAGAGAGTTACTGAGCATTTCCATCCCAAAATATGGATTTGTGTCTCAGATGATTTTGATGAGAAGAGGTTGATAAAGACAATTATAGGTAATATCGAAAGAAGTTGTCTTGCTGTTGAGGACTTGGCTTCATTTCAGAAGAAGCTTCAGGAGTTGTTGAATGGAAAAAGATATTTGCTTGTCTTAGATGATGTTTGGAATGAAGATCAAGATAAGTGGGATAATTTAAAAGCAGTGTTGAAGGTTGGAGCAAGTGGTGCTTCTGTTCTAACTACTACTCGTCTTGAAAAGGTTGGATCAATTATGGGAACTTTGCAACCATATGAATTGTCAAATCTGTCTCAAGAAGACTGTTGGCTGTTGTTCATACAACGTGCATTTAGACATCAAGAAGAAATTAGTCCTAACCTTGTGGCTATCGGAAAGGAGATTGTGAAAAAAAGTGGTGGTGTGCCTCTAGCAGCAAAGACTCTTGGAGGTCTTTTGCGCTTCAAGAGAGAAGAAAGAGAATGGGAACATGTGAGAGATAGCGAGATTTGGAATTTACCTCAAGATGAAAGGTCTATTATGCCTGCCCTAAGGCTTAGTTATCATCATCTTCCACTTGATTTGAGACAATGCTTTGCGTATTGTGCAGTCTTCCCAAAGGACACTGAAATGGAAAAAGAAAAGCTAATCTCTCTCTGGATGGCGCACGGTTTTCTTTTATCGAAAGGAAACATGGAGCTAGAGGATGTGGGCGATGAAGTATGGAAAGAATTATACTTGAGGTCTTCTTTCCAAGAGATTGAAGTTAGATATGGTAAAACTTATTTCAAGATGCATGATCTCATCCATGATTTGGCAACATCTCTGTTTTCAGCAAACACATCAAGCAGCAATATCCGTGAAATAAATTACACACATATGATGATGTCCATTGGTTTCTCTGAAGTGGTGTCTTCTTATTCTCCTTCGCTCTTGCAAAAGTTTGTCTCGTTAAGAGTGCTTAATCTAAGTTACTCAAAATTTGAGAAGTTAACTTCTTCCATTGGAGATGTAGTACATTTAAGATACCTGGACCTCTCTGGCAGTAACATGTGTAGTCTTCCAAAACAGTTATGCAAGCTTCAAAATCTGCAGACTCTTGATCTACATAATTGCCTGTCACTTTGTTGTTTGCCAAAAGAAACAAGTAAACTAGGTAGTCTCCGAAATCTATTACTTGATGGTTGCGATAAATTGACTAGTATGCCACCAAGGATAGGATCATTGACATGCCTTAAGACTCTAGGTCAATTTGTTGTTGGAAGGAAGAAAGGTTATCAACTTGGTGAACTAGGAAGCCTAAATCTCTATGGCTCAATTGAAATCAGACATCTTGAGAGAGTGAAGAATGATGAGGACGCAAAAGAAGCCAATTTATATGCAAAAGGGAATCTGCATTCTTTAAGCATAATTTGGAATTATCCGCATAGATATGAATCAGAAGAAGTTAAAGTGCTTGAAGCCCTCAAACCACATTCCAATCTGACTTGCTTAAGAATTTATGGCTTCAGAGGAACCCATCTCCCAGAGTGGATGAATCACTCAGTATTGAAAAATATTGTCTCTATTGTAATTGACGACTGCAGAAACTGCTTGTGCTTACCACCCTTTGGTGATCTGCCTTGTCTAGAAAGTCTAGAGTTATGCTGGGGGTCTGCGGATGTGGAGTATGTTGAAGAAGTGGATATTGATGTTCATTCCACAAGAATAAGGTTTCCATCCTTGAGGAAACTTGTTATATGCGCCTTTCGTAATCTGAAAGGATTGGTGAAAAAGGAAGGAGGAGAGCAATTCCCTGTGCTTGAAGAGATGGAGATTCTCTGTTGCCCTATTCTGACCCTTTCTTCTAATCTTAGGGCTCTTACTTCCCTCACAATTAGCTACAATGAGAAAGCTACTTCATTCCCAGAAGAGATGTTCAAAAACCTTGCAAATCTCAAATACTTGAAAATCTCTGAGTTCAAGAATCTCAAAGAGTTGCCTACCAGCCTGGCTAGTCTCAATGCTTTGAAGAGTCTCCAATTTGAATATTGTGACGCACTAGAGAGTATCCCCGAGGAAGGAGTGAAAGGTTTAACTTCACTCTCGGAATTAACTCTTCTTAATTGCATGATGCTAAAATGTTTACCAGAGGGATTGCAATGCCTAACAGCCCTCACAAGATTAGAAATTTGGGGATCTCCACAAGTGTTCAAGCGGTGTGAGAAGGGAATAGGAGAAGACTGGCACAAAATAGCTCACATTCCTACTCTGCATATTCGTAACAATCGTAAGTATTAGTATTTGTAATTGTGTCTTTGTTTGTGAGTCTTTTTGGTTCCTGCCATGTAATTTTTTTCTAGGGTTGTTTGATTTTGAGTCTCTCTCATTGGATGTAATTTTCTTTTGGAAATAAATCAACAATCTATTTGTATTATATGCTTTGAGAATCTATTACTTATTTCTAATGGTGCGTATCTCTGTTTCCTGCCATTATATTGTATGTAATTTTCTGATTTTATTTTGAAAACAAATCAATGATTTGTAGGATCCATTTGTATTATACTTGTAATTATTGGCGAACAGTAATGTTGTTGATTATCACTTTCATAAATGTTGTGTCACATGGAAAAAACACCAACTAGGGCTATTCATGTTTTTTTATAACTAGTTTCTGAGCACATGCTTCGCACGTGTGTTTCATGTAAATTTTTACAGATACGTTAAAATGATTAAAATTTCATGAAAAAAATAATAATAAAATAAAAAAATAAAAAATAAAAATAAATAAATAAATAATATATATATATATATATATATATATATATATTGTAGTGAATAATAAAATGCAACAATTACAAAATAAGAATAAAGACTTACGGCAATAAAACATTCATAGAAAATTAAGAAGTCTAATAGAGAGAAAAAAAAAGACAAAAAGAAACAGATTTAAGAAAAAAATACAATGTAGACATTATTCTTATAAGACTGATGTATAAATAGATGAAAAAATAAGTACAAAATTAGTACGTAACTCTCTGAGTTCTTATCTGACTCCTTCCAAATCCTATCAAAATTCAAAAAGTCTTCTTCATCTACTTCAACTATAATTAATAGCCTAATAATTTTGGTAGGGGCTTCATGAGATAAAAAAGTTGAATTTATATAGATAGAATAGAAGGATTATCAAAAGATATCTTAAAGTTTCAATTTAAATATTTGGAGGTTATGAATATGAAAAGATGAGAGTTATGGATATTAAGAGTATAAAAGTTGAATAAGTAATTAGAAAATAATAATAAATAAATGAAGAATAGGAAAAAGAAAATTAAAGTTAGCAAACCATGTAGAAAGAACAACTAAAGTTCTTATCATGTAATTAAGCATCAATGAATTTAAATTTGTGAAGCTAGAGTCATTCTTTAATAATAATAATAATAATCAAGAGGACGTTATCAATGTGTCTGTCTCCATTTTGCAGATTTGCACCCTTTAAATTATTAAATTTCGTTATTTATCATAAAGGATAATACTTTATCCACATAAATTATTATTTATGAGAGGGGTTAAAGGAAAAAGTTATGAGAAGAGGAAAAGTATAGCAATTTAGGTAGAGATTTTTTTCTAAAAAAAAAAATTATAATTATTATATACATATAGATTATAGATGATAACTATTAATAAATTAGATATTTAATTAGGAATTAATCTTAGGAAGTTTAAAAGTCATTAACATTATAATTAAACTTATACAATCAAATATTTAAATATTTATAACAATTTAATTTATAAAAGGGGTAAAACCGTAATTCAACTTTCAACTTTTTTTGTTCATGCTTTTAGTAATACTAGTTTCTGGACACGTGCACCGCACGTGTATTTCATGTGAATTTTTATAAATTTGTTAGAACAAAAAAAATCTATGAATATATATATATATAGAATGAGTAATTAAATACCAATTTGAGCCACATAAAAAATACAAATTAAAGAAGTTTAATGGGGAGGAAATACAAAAAAAATAATAAAAAATAGATACGAAAAATATAAGGTAAACATTCTTCTTAGGATTGTAATCATAACAATATTGTTGAAAAAAGAAATATAGAA